CAATTAAGATGAATGTATTGCCCAGAATCTTATACTTATTCCAGACAATTCCAATCAGATTAGGGAAAGAATTTTTAAACAAAATAGTGCTAAAATACATTTGGCAGGGGAAGAAAGCAAGAATAAAACTTAAATTGTTACAAGATGCAAGAATAAGAGGAGGATTTGCTTTGCCCAATTGGGAATTATACTACCAAGCGACAAGTCTGATGTGGGTAAAGGAGTGATAATATTAAGGAATACTAGACTTTTGAATTAAGAAGGACATGACTTGCTGTTAGGGTGACATGCCTTCCTCTGGTATAAGGGAACTAAAATGCAGGGGTATTTTAGAAGACATTATATTAGAGAAGCATTGTTTCTAAACTGGGAGAAGATAAAAAAGCAATATTATTTAAAAATTCCACTATGGTTATCTACTATTGAAGCTTTGTCCTATCCAATAATATATAAAAAGGAACAAACAGTTAGATATGGTGAGATATTAAATGAAGAGGGTGAACTTAAATCTATGCAAGCATTGGAAGAACAAGGTGTAAAAATTTGGTTTTCATATTTGCAAATACAATCTAGATTTGATAAAGATGTTAAAACAGAAGATATCTATGACAAGTTGACTGATTTAGATAAAATTTTGACAGGTACTGATGAAAAAGTAATCAAAAAACTTTATGGACATTTGCTAGAATTTAAATTAGAGGAAGAACAAGTAAAAGAAACATGTATTGCGTGGGGGAAAAATTTCGGATATGGGATTGATCTAGAGAAATGGCAAAAATTGTGGGCTCAAAATTATAAAATGACAATGTCAACTGCATATAAAGAAAATTTGTATAAGATGTTTTACAGGTGGCACTTACCCCCAAAGAGAATTGCCAGGATGTTCAAGGATAAATCAGATAAATGTTGGAAATGTCATCAGATACCTGGTTCATATTACCACATGTAGTGGACATGCTCGGATGCAAAAAGATATTGGACTATAATCCACACATGGTTGGGGAAAATGTCAAAACAACACATAGACTTTAAACCTGAGATATTTTTATTGGGAATTATACCAGAAATATATTGTAAAGAATTGAAATATTTGATTGTAAATGCTTTAACAGCGGCTAGAATTGTATTTGCTAAGAACTGGGAAAATGAAAAAATACCTATGCAGGAGGAAATTATTAAGAAAATCATGGACTGTGCCGAAATGAGTAAATTGACATTTGAAATTATAGAACAAGAGGATAAACAATTTTATATGATATGGGATTTATTTTATCAATGGTTAGATAAAAAGACATGGTAAAGAAATAGACTACTAAGCCTTACAATAAAAATAGATTGATATAGAATACAATATAAAATATAAAACCATTGGATGAATGTATAAGATTAAATCATAATGAAAATTAGAATATTTCGTATAAAATGATGGAAAAATAGTCAAATGAAAGTTTAATAATTGATATTATATGAGCACAAGCTAGATCGATAAGGTGATTATTTATATTACTTGTGAGTAATGGTAAAAAAAGGATAGCACAAAAGATTGTAACCAACTGACACACTGTATGTATATAATTGAAAGATGGTTTTATGTTTTGTTCATATGTTTGTTGTAAAAAATAAAAACTTTGTTTTTTTAAAAAAATAAATAAATGCAGTCCTTTTTTCCAATCAGCCTCCATTTTATTTCTAGTACCTTTCTCCTGGTTTGGAGCTGTACCGGATTTTTCTTCCAACAGGAGGGAGGGTGGGAGGGAAGAGAGAAGAAAGAGAAAAGAAGAAAGACACATGTTCATCAGGGAACAAATCATATTTTTACACTTGGCTTTTTAAAAAGCTGCCAAATATAAGATAGTAAATCCAAGTAAAGGCTGTTTAAAGGCTACAGAGATTGCTGCAGAAGAAGCTGTCAGTATTAGAAAGAACAGTACCTCATCTCCCAAGTAATATTTAGGGTTAAGAAAATATTTGATCTGAGGAATCTGTTAGATCGGGTAGATTGGTCCCCACAGAGACGCGAGACCAAAAGTGAACATTCAACTCTTTATTTTGCAGCAGTCCTTCATATAGGAGCTGTCCGCGGTGCGGCGGCCAATGACAGCACTTTGAATCTCCCACAATCGGCTCAGCCAATCGCGGTAGATTCTAAGTGTGCCAATCACGGCCATTTAGTCATCCAATCAGGTTGCGGCCCATGTGGGCCAATCAGGTTTCAGGATTTGGAGTATGTTAATACAGAACACCCCTCCCCTCTTGGTTTTGTCCGACGGAGCGTGGTCACGTAGTCAAGCAGGTAGGTGGGGCTTCGTATCTGCCTAGTTGACCTGCATGGTTCAGTTGTTTGGTCATCGACCGGTTCGGGCGAACCTTTCGTCGCTCCTGAGTCCTTGGATGGAACCGCCTGGAAGGGTGAGCTGGGCCTTCTCTGGTAGCTCCCTCCTGGTCTACCCAGGTTGGTTGAGCTGCTGATTCTGCCGTTCCCACCTGGTCTTTCCGGGCTGGTTGAACTGCCTTGGCTGCTCCCCTCAGGTGAATCCTTGGGTCGTTCGTCTGCTGTGGATGTGTCGTCTACCGGTGAGTAAGGCAGGTTTATTATTGCTTGGGGGTGGTTTATTCTGGTTGGGGGGTGTCCTGCTTGCCCTTTTGGATTTTCTTCCTTTCTTTGCTGATGGTTTGAGGTCCCCCCCCCTTTCTGGTTTCTTCGTTGTTTGTTGGTGGTGGTGTTTGCATGCTGTCAGTGGCTATTCTTGATCTGAGCTGGTCGATGTGCCGCTTCCAGCTCTGCTCGTCGATTGTCTGTAGTCGGTAAGATCAGGGGCCCGTTACCTGGGTTATTTGTGCCGGTACCCAGAGTGGGTCCCCAGTAAAGTTTTTTGCGTAGATGGTGTCTCCTATGTTAAATGTTTGGTACTTGCTTGAGGAGTCTGGGGGTTTTTCAGGGTTATACGTGGGGTGTAATCTGTCTAATGGGGATCTTAGTTTTCTGCCCATGAGTAATTCTGCTGGGCTTTTGTTTGTGGTAGTGCTGGGTGTAATGTGTTGTATTAAGAGCATTTTATTTATTTATTCTTGTATATCGCTGGTTTGAATCTTTTGTATGGTATTTTTTGTGAATCTGACCATTCGTTCCACCCGCCCATTCACCGCCGGGTGAGCCGGCGCAGTTAATGTGTGCTGTATGCTCCGTTCTGCCAGAAATTTTTCAAATGCTAGTGAGGTAAATTGTGGCCCGTTATCTGACACTAGCATGCCTGGCAGCCCATGTGTGGTAAAAAGTTTGTTTAGTTTTTTTATGACGGCTTCCGTAGTTGTCGTTTTCATGGTGCTTACCTCCAGCCAGTTGGAGTAAGCATCAACGATGATCAGAACCGTGTGCCCCTTGGTAGGCCCGGCGAAATCTATGTGAATTCTGGACCAGGGGCCCCTGGGGGTTTCCCATTCCAGACTTGGGGCGGAGGGGGGATTTGGTCTGATTCCCTGGCAGCTTTTGCAAGTAGCTACCCAAGTCTCGATTTGTTTGTCCATTCCCGGCCACCAGGCATAGCTCCTGGCCAGGGCTTTCATCTTGACAATGCCCGGGTGCCCCTCATGCAACATTGACAACACCCCTTTTTGCAATGTCTCTGGAATTACAACCCTGCCCCCCCCAAAAGTATGCAACCCTTCTGCATGAAGAGTTCGGTTTGCCGGTTTCTGAAGATTTTAAATTGTTCATTCCCGTCGCTTTCCGGCCACCCTTTCTCCACCCAGCCCAAGACTCACGCCAGCCACTTGTCTTTATTAGTCTCTCTGGCAATGTCTGACACAGTCAGGGGTGGGTTGGGCAGTGTCTCGATGTGCAGGGTTGTTGTTGTGGGTGCCGGGTTGTCATCCAGGTCTGGCAGGGGAGAACGGCTCAATGCGTCTGCATGAGTGATGTTCTTGCCGGGCCGGTGTGTTAACTGGTAGCTATAGGCGGCAAGGAACTCGGACCACCTTGTCATCCTGGGTGATAGGATATTCGGGGTGGCCTTGTTCCCTGCCAGGATCCCTAGCAATGGCTTGTGGTCAGTGACAATAGAAAAGGTCCTACCGTAGAGGTACTTGTGGAACCTTTTCATGCCGGAGATGATTGCTAGGGCCTCCTTGTCTAGCTGACTGTAGTTTCTTTCCGGGTTGGAGAGTGTTCTTGAGAAGAAGGTGATGGGTGCTTCTTTTCCATAATGTGTGGCTGAGGATGGCCCCGACGCCAAAAGGTGACCCGTCGCATGTCACAGTTAGCGGCAGGGTCTCACTGTATTGAATAAGAACTGTGTCTGATGTTAGTAGGTTCTTGGTTTGTTTGAACACATTTTCCTCCCACTTCCCCCAGGTCCAGGTGGCTGTTTTATCCAACAGCCTATGCAAGGGTTCCGCCACGGTTGCCTTTTGGAGTAGGAAAACATTGTAAAAATTAATGAGCCCAAGAAAAGCCTGCAGTTCCGTCTTATTCTTTGGGGTAGGGGCTTCCTTGATGGCTCTGAGTTTTTTTTGGTGGGGTGTATTCAGTGCTTGTCTAGGAGGTAGCCCAGGAATTCGACTCTCTTGGTGCACAGCTGACATTTTTCTCTTTTAACCTTAAGCCCCGAGTCTTTGAATTTCTGTAGTACCTCCCTTAGGTGGGTTTCCAGTTCTGTTTTATTCGTAGCTGCCACCAAGATGTCATCAAAATAGGGCACCACCCCTTTTATCCCTTGGAGTAGTCTCCTGGGAAGACTCCTGGGGCCACGCTGACTCCAAATTGGAGTCGGTTGCATCGGAATGCCCCTCGGTGGGTGACGATAGTTTGCACCTATGCAGTGGTAGCATCGACCGGCAGTTGTTGATAGGCTTGTGCCAGGTTGAGCTTTGTGAAGACCCGGCCTCCCCCCAGTGAGTGTAGGAGGTGTTGCAGTACTGGGACGAGGTAGGCACTAGGCTGCAGCGCGTGGTTGAGGGTGGCCTTGTAGTCACCACAAATTCTTATGGACCTATCTGGCTTGATGGGTGTCCCCCACCTGGCATGGTCAATAGGCTCTAAAACCCCTTGCGCAATGAGCTTATCTAACTGCTCATCGATCTTAGGCTTGAGTGAGAATGGCATTTGCCACGGTTTAAGGTGGATTGGGGTGATGTTGGGATCTAGATTGAAGGAAATTGGGATCCCCTGGTACTTGCCTAGAGTGTCATCGAAGACCTCCTGGAAGTCCCTCAGGAGCATCACTTCCCAGTCCGCCTTGTCGACTTGGTGGATGCCTGTCACTCCGATGCCCAAAGGTGTGAACAATTGCAAGCCCCAGCAGGCTTGGACGGTCTCTGTCCATGATGGTGAGTGGCAGCACCTTGGTGTGCCCTTTAAAGGTTACTTTGAAATGTCCAGTTCCGGCTACAGGGATTTAGTTTCCCTGATAGTCTTTGAGGGTCCGTTTTTGGCTTTGTAGCTCGTGGCGGCAGATGGTAGGCACCAGGTGTTTGATTGTGCACCAGGAAACCATGGAGAGGTAGGATCCGGAATCCACCTCCATCTCACATGGTTGATCCTCGATACTCACCTCCACGTGTACCTTCCGGGCGTCGAGGGTGGAGGAATGGCCGATGATGACCATCTGGTGGGTTTCCTCTCTGCGTCGCACCTCGCCAAGCTGCTTGCTCCGGCCGTTTTTGCTCCATCGGCTTTTGGTGTGGCGATCTCTAGTCCTGGGGGGTGTGCCGTCTCATCACCGGGGCTGTCATCTCATCGGCGGGGGCTGTAGTTCCGCTTGTTCCAGCATACCTTGGCGATATGGCCCTGCTTGTCACAATGCCGGCAGATGGCCTTGAGGAAATGGCATTCCGAGCGGAGGTGATCGCCGCCGCAGCTGGTGCATTGGAACCCTGACTTATGTCCTCTCCGCTCCCGCCAGTCCCATTCTGCCTGGAGTCGGTGGATCTCTTCCTCCTTGTCCTCGGTGTTGGGTAGGGAGTCAATGTCGCTGTGGTGGGTGGTGGTGGTCTTTGGTGGCTGGTCTCCGGGTACTTCTCCAGTGCTGGGGGCATCACGATGGTCGCTGGCCGGTTTGCTGTGCTTGCCTGCCGCATCTGGGCCGCCGATTTCTTGGTTGCCTTGGCTGCGGTCGCCTCTGTGAGGGCTTTGGTGAGGGAGATTGTCGCCCAACTCTGTAGGATGGGGTCCTTGAGTCCGAGGATGACGCGGTCCCGCAGGACCTCGTCCATGTCGGTGAACCCACACATGCCCCCGAGGTCCCTCAGTTCAGCCACAAAGTTGCTGATGCACTCACCCTCTCTCTGGTCCCGCGGGTAAAAGTCGTGCCTTGGGATGAGGGTGGGCACGGCGGGGGCATAGTGGTTCCGCAGCAACGGCTCGAGATCGACCCAGTCCATCTCCTTTATGTCATCTGGTTTGGCCAGGGCCTTTGCCATCTTGAACACTGCGGGCCCGCAGTGTTGTCAGGAACACAGCCCTTTTTTTCTGGCTGTTGGCATCTTTCAGATTGCTGCTTTCCAGATACATCAGGAATCTGTCTATGTAGGATTCCCAATCCTCAGCAGCCGGGTTGAAGGGTGCAGGTGGTGCGGTGCTGCTGGCCATTTTGTCGGTCATCTCGTTCCGCTCTGCCACGTGCTTGCTTGGTCTCTTGTCTCATGATCCCACCTTTGTCGCCAGTGTTAGATCGGGTAGATCGGTCCCCACAGAGACGCGAGACCAAAAGTGAACGTTCGGCTCTTTATTGAGTATACAGTTCTGTACAAGAACTGCACTTCGTGGCAGCCCTTCATATAGGAGCTGTCTGTGGCGCGGCGGCCAATGACAGCGCTTTGAATCTCCCACGATCGGCTCGGCCAATCGCGGTAGATTCTAAGTGTGCCAATCAAGGCCGTTTAGTCGTCCAATCAGGTTGCGGCCCATGTGGGTCAATCAGGTTTCAGGATTTGGAGTATGTTGATACAGAACAGAATCAAAAGACAGAAAGAACAGATTTCTGAGTGAAAAGGAAGTAGATACTTCACTGTAATTATCTGTTTTTTAAATCTGCACATGTTTGTGTTCTGGCTCAATTACTCTTACTCTGTAGGATCTTACACATAATTCAGTATGGAAAGGGAATTTTAAAGAATGAAGAGAGTGCCCAATATTCAGATAAATGTCAATTACAATACCATGTGTAAGAATTAATTCACATTATTTAAATAGGGAGTACATATTCTAAAGTTCTAGGGCTCCATGTATTTCTCAGGTCTTTGATGTGTGGTTTTTGATGTGTGGTCTGCACTTGTTATGAATGTGTGAATTAGAGAGAGAGAGAGTGGGAGAGGAAGAGAATAGTCATATTAACTTTATTTAATAATTTTAATATTGTTTTGAATCATATAAAATGTAGATTTGCTTCTGCCCTTTCCCTATTTAAAGTTCAGCTTTCAAATTTTACGTATAATCTCTGCTGCAACAAATGTGATGTATCCCAAGTATAGAGAAATGAAACCATTACTTCAAGTATGCAAAAAAGTAACTGGGGAATGACTGGCAACAGAAAATAATGGCTGCTATATCAGAGGTGGTATTCAGCAGGTTCTGACCTGTTCTGGAGAACCAGTAGTGGAAATTTTGAGTAGTTCAGAGAAATGGCAAATACCATGTCTGACTGGAGATTTTACAGTATTCTTCCACTGCCATGCCCACCAAGCCACACCTACAGAAGGTGTGGTGGGATTATAACCACTGCAGTTTTACTGTATGGAAAAGTGGGACACTCAGATTAAGCAACCTTGTACCCTCCTATAAAAGGCTAGAAATAAAAGAATCTTTAGAAACTTCCTAAAATACTAGCAGGAACTATGTACTACTACACTTTTATGAAAGAACATGCATTTTTCATGTCTGATATTAAAAGATTGCAGCAAGTAAAGAGTGCCATCTACAGGTTTTATTGCTGCAAAGGCATACAGCAAAGGGGAAAATCAGCTTTTTCTTTAAACTTTCCCTGTAAATAACATGCATATTTGTTCAGACTCCAGCTCATTGACTCATTAAATAGACCAGGATTTGGAAACTTTCTGGTCTGACTTAGGGTCAAATTTTAAATGAGATTTGGAAAGCATATTGTTTAGGTTTTTACTTAATTATTATGGCAAATCCATGAGCTGCTGAAATGTTTTTCTTTATTATTTCTTAACAGAATTGGATAAAATCTGAGGTGTAGTCTTTCAAATATCAGACAAATAAACTCAGGAGATTTGTTGCTTTATTCCTTTACATTTTTATTTTCTTGGGAAGTAGTAATAATCTGTTTGTCTTTTACATAATTAGGCGCCCTATATTGGAAATAAAGCTTCCCAAATTTCATAAACTTAGAAGAAAGCTTTTCAGGAAAAGGGATATTTTATTTCTTTGCAGTAATAAATAAAATGGCTTGGTTATTCATCACTTTTGTTGTATGAGCATTTCATCACGAAGCAAAAAATTCTTTCAGACAACCCCTTAAACTATATATTGTGTAGCCCAACAGGTGATTAAAGTTGCTTTTAAAATTGCTGATATGTATTATGTAAACATTCATTCACTCTCTGCAAAATTGGTGAATTTGAATTTGAATTGCTGGTCACTCATCAATTTCTATGAAAAGGTAAGACATTAATGAAATCATTTATGTGTTGATAGGTGGATGGATGTGTCTGTGAATTTGATAAAATAGGTATAGAAATATTTGTGCTAAGAGCCATTGAAGTTGGTCTGCTAAGAAGTAGTCCATTATTCTTGGGAAACAGGAAGTACTTTTTTAACAGAAAGGATTTAGGTACACACCAATGATTCCACTTCATTCTCAGGAAGACCTCACACTCTCAGGAAGACCTCACCCGTAGAGATGGCTCTTCAATAACTTTCAGTGTGATTTGGAAGGGAAGGGTATGTTCTTCTTCAAGTTTTTTTCTACCATGTTTCCTTGAAAATATGACCACCCCAAAAAAGAAGCCCTATTGTGTTTTTGAATGCATGCACTAAAATTAAGTCCTACCCCTCAAATTAGCCCTAATTAAGACCCTTCCCATCCCAGGGTGCAGAGAGGGGGCAAGGCACACAGGTAAAAATTAAGCTAGAGTGAGGATGGGGTTGAAGGTGTTGTACGTACTAGGCCTCGCACACCTCGAACCTGCTTCACTTTGCAGGCCCACTGTCAGATCCCTAAAAGTGATATTGCCATTCAGTTGGGAGAAGGGGGGCTTGGAATAAATTCATTAGTATTGTCTGTGACAACTGGTATTTTATAACTTGTATCCTGGTGCCACAGTGCCCTGAGATTTTCTCACCTCTTGGAGGTTGTATAGGAGGGAAGGCCATGTGGGTTATTTCATTTTAATAGCCAGCAGAAGATGGCCATGGGAATGTACTTTTCTGTTTCTCACACCCTCCAGCACACAATAACATCTTCACACCTGTGGATTGGCTGAATCCACATCTGGCTAAAGGGAGGGGTCTCTACTTCTTTAATTCTACTTGTCTTGCCTAGTCAGACATTGCTTTGAATGGCATGCTTTCACTTCTGCTTAATAAATCTTCCTTTTGAAATACTTCATTTCAAGAGTCTTCACTTTCTTAAGTTAGAAGGAGAGGGAATCCTTACACGCACTTCTCCTGCAGTCATTTGCCATCAGCCCTCTGTAGCTGATCAATCCAGAGCTCTTTTATTGGCTACAGAGGGCTTTCCAGAAGGCAGGAGGTGCCGCACTGATCAATCTGGAGCCCATTTCTAAGCTGCATAGAGCTTTCCAGAAGGCTCTGATGGCGAAATGGAGGCCAGGGGCGCCTCATGCAAGCAGCGGCAAGCAGCTGCAGAAGAAGTTGACAGACAGCAAGATCTTGCTGGGTGGGGCTGTTGGTGCCACTACCATGAGGTGAGTCAATAATTAGAGCCACCTAAAAAGAAGCCCTAGCCATTTTTTCAGGGGTCAAAAGAAAATAAGACTCAGTTATATTTTCAGGGAAATATAATAATACATAGAAATGTATTAACTAAAAATCAAAATATATCACCCAACTGACTCTAGAGAAGAAACAATATTTGAGGTTATGGTGTT